CCAGCAGGGGGCAGATGCTCAATGTAGGAGCTGCCCCCTGGTGGTCAGTGCACTCCCACTGGGGGAGCGCCATTCAGCCAGAAGGGCTAATGGCAGCTAGCAAGCACAGTGGCGGTGGTGGAAGCCTCTCCCGCCTCCACCACAGCCCCCCCCCCCCAAGTGCATGAATTTCGTGCACCGGACCTCTCATTCTAATATATTTGTATTTGTTTCCAGCACAAATACCAATGAATAAAAAAGAAAATTGGTCACACAATTAGCCATTAAATGTCCCAATATGAATAATTATAAAATAAAGTTAAAATAGAGTCAGGAAATCCTGTCTCCTTCATGAAAACTCATCAAGACTAATAAGAAGAGAAGAGACAGTTTTTCCTACCAGCATTGTGCTTTCTCCTGCAGCTCACAGGGCTGCCTCAGTTACTAGGGGACTGCATTGCTTATATACCTAATGAATGCTTTGGTTTTGTATAATGAATGTCATGGGGGGTTGTAATTGCCTAAATAACTCCAGGAAAGCTTCCCTTGTGAAAAAGGGAATTTTTAGGGGTGAAAAAGACAGGTTTAGGAAATTTTAGAAATTAAGGGGACCATGGAAGAACCACAGGGCTGCAGAACAGCCGAAGGTGTATTTCCATAGAATAGGGGAGCTGAAAAGCTGCAACAGGTACATTTCCATAGAATAAGGGAGCTGGAAACAGCAGAAGGTCTATATTTACAAAATAAAGGGAAGGAAGCCCCTTATCCAGAAGGAGAAGAAAGCCCAAAGAGAATAGGAAAATAAGGAAGGAGGGGAGGAAAACTTCACATGTCCCATGTGAGGTTCCACCTTTGAGCTCAGAAGTTACTATAGTAACCAGTCCAACGAAATAGTGACCAATCAGAGGAGATATCAAGGCATAGGATCTGCAGCCCTATAAGCCGCAGGGAAAAGGAACTCAATGGGACTTTTTTCCCCTCCTCATGTGGGAGTCTATACTTGTTCTTCAATAAATTTCCACCTTTGCTATACCATCTTCCATTTGTGGATTCATTCTTCAACTCCCATGGACAAAGAGCCTGGGAACCATTCTGCCCAGGGGAATACCACCTGTTCCAGTCCAAAAATCCTGCTTCACTTGTACTATTTACAAAGGGTACATTTAGTAACATTTTGGTCATAGCAACCAATTAGTAATAATGGCTACTATTAGCTTGTATGTGGAGAAAACTATTTCCAATTGCCCTGTGATTCAACACTTGCACTATAGCCTGAGGTATTAGGGTTGAGCAAGCTATGGTTCTATGGCTATCTAGTCTCCACACAAAGAAAGCTAGAAAATTCCTAGGAAGCCTAGAACATGTCTACAAACAAGAATTTCTTGCTAGTCATTTGACTAAATTTCCCTAAGCACTGTCAGAACCCCCCATTTAGGCCAAAGGATGGTTGAGTGTTGTTCTGTGCATGATAAGGTTACCAGTTCGATTGATGGTCAGGACACATAGCTGGGCTGTAGGTTCAATCTCGGTCAGGGCACATACAGAGGGCAACTGATCAATGTTTCTCTCACATCAATGTCTCTCACCCTTTTATGTAATGATGTTTACTTTGAATTTATATTAGTTCACACAAACACTCCATCCATGCTTTTGTTCCGGCCCTCCAGTCCAGTTTAAGAACCCATTGTGGCCCTCAAGTCAAAAAGTTTGCCCACCCCTGGTAGAGGCTGCTGTATACACAGCATAGTACACTATCCTCTGGGGATACAGGATCTTGAATTCCAGGATACAACCACATGCCTACCATTAGGGCCTAAGTGTCCCCACAAGCATGCATGTTGCTGTTGGAATAGAGTGCACATCCCCAGACTCAAGGGTGAAACTGATGCTGAGTGTGATGGGGTGAAGGGTATTGGAATAAACTAGGACATAAGAACTGGGGAGTCTATACACATGAACACCAGGCCCCTTTAAGTGTGGGATAGAGTGGCAGAGTGGGGGTGGGGAGAATGGGACAAGCTGGACTGTGTGTATGTGTGTGTGACTGTTGTGTAAGAGGTGTGTGTGTGTGTGAGAGAGAGAGAGAGAGAGAGAGAAGGAGAGTTGGGAGGAAAGGTGACTGATTCTGTTCCAGGCTCCATTTAATTACAGAATAGCTCATTCCCCATGGCACACCCTCAGAGTCACATAGTTCTGCTGGCTACTGCATTCACACTGGCACTCTCTGGTCTTCAGGACACTTAGCTTCTGGGGCTGACCCAGGGCACTGCTCATAAAAAGGAGATACCTCCTATGCCTTCCGCTGAAGGCCTCTCCTGCCCAGCTTTTGTCTCTTTGTTTTACAAGCGGCTTGGGCTCTGACTTGAAGGAGCGATCATAAAGAGAATGATTACTTTTATACCAGCTGCAAGGAGGAGAGGACTCTGCAAGGAGGGATTTATACATGGAAATCAATACCAGCATTGGAAAGCATCCCCTTTGCCCATGCAAGTGCTGCCTACAGGGTCAATAGCTGGAATTAACCTGGATCCTTTTTTAATTATTATTCTTTTTAATAAAGCTGCTTTATGATAGACTCTGAAGTGAGCTCCCACTCTGAAACTGCACCAATGTGAAGGGAAAGAACAAATACTTTCATTTAAGAATTATCTTGTCCCAGTGGGGATCTCTCCCACTCCCACTACCCTCACTCTCTAAGTCTCCAGAGAATCAGAGAGAGGAGTGCGAAATTAAGCCTTTTGTGAGCATAAACTGATACCGATATGAAAGAGAATGAGCTCATTGCCCTGATTCCATAGGTTAATTTGTGATATATATGGGAAAAGTTAGCTGTTGCAGGCACAGCTGTACTAAATGCTCACTGTATGCATTCATATGACTGTATGACTTTGCTTACTGCTTGATTTTCCTCATTTAATTATTCCAACAATTCTGTAAAAGGAAGAAATGGAGACTCAGAATGCATACAGGTCTCAAGGAAGAACTAAGTGGTCGACAGGCTTCCTACTAAAGTCTTGTACTCCCCAAGTCTTGCTGGGTCAGAAATATTAAATTGATGGATATTCCTTTCTTGCTAGGACAGGTGTTGAAAGCCTCGTGTATCTTTTTCCTGCACACTCCTGTCATTCCTTCTGTCACACTGTACAAAAATGGGCCAATATGAAATTGCTTCTGTGATAACCCTAGATTCAGTCCTTGAGTCCTCTGTCTTTCTTATATCTCATAGCTCTACTTTTAAACTACACCAGACTCTAAGAACAATGTCACCTCTAAGAGTCATCCACTTTCACTCTTACCCTCATACAGACCCTAATCTACACAGTAGCCAGAGTGAAACTTAAGTAAATTAGGTCATTGACAGGTCTATGTATAAGACCTTCCAGTGCTTCCGACGTCATTCAGAGTAAAGGCCAAACTCCCTGCAATGGCCTATTAGGCCCTACATGTGTTTCACACACACACACACGCACACACACACACACACGCACACACACATACTCCTCTGATTTTGTATTCTTCCACGTTCCTCCTTGACACACACACACACACACACACACACACACTCCTCTGATTTTATCTTCTTCCACGTTCCTCCTCACTCACACCTCTCCAGCTACATTGTCTCATCTCAGTTCTTCAAGATCAACAAGCACCCTCTTGCTTCTGGGTCTTTGCACTGATTATTCCCTTGGCCTGGAACACGTTCCCCTCAGTTCATAAAATGGCTCACTTTCTCACTTCCATCTGGTGTCTACCCAAATATTTTATTACCAGAGAGAATCCTGCCATGCCGACCTTATAAAAAAATAGCAACCTCTCCTTCCTTATCACTCTCTGAGCTGCGTTTCTCTATCCAACATGTTAAATATTTATTTACCTGTTTCTTGTCTCTGCCTCTTCCATGCTAGTCTCATTGCAGGTAAGTGCACCTCACAAGCCTGAAACAGCAGCCTGTGTCAGAACAGCCTGGGAGGAAGGCGGCAGCCTCCCAGCAATATTTTAGTGTGCCTTTGGCTGCCATCGCGGAAGAATAGTTCACAAGGGTAATGTATTCTGGGAGTCTGCTGGAACGCTCAACTGACAACAGCCCTATTGAGATGATGGCCATCCCCCTGGGAGCTTTTCTGTTTACATGTGCCTTTACTCATCTTTCAGCTGAATCGGAAAGCTGAATAGCAACTTCACTGTTTGAAAAACAAAATGGATTTTGATGCTTAAAAGGACTTTCATTCAGAGGAACCCAGAGTTAACAATCTTCACATGTGGGCTGGTTCTAAGATCCTGGAACTGGGGAGTTGTCTGTGACTATAGAGAGTGCTTCCTGTACCGTCCATGTGGCCATTTCCATTAAAATGTAAAATGATTTAAATCAAGTGAAGTTAAAAATTCAGAGAAAAAGTTTCTCAGTCACACTAGCTAGTCACAAGCCACATGTTGCTGGTGCCTGCCACATTGGACTGCACGGTCATCGAATATTTCCATCACTGTAGAACATTCTATTGGATAGCATTGGCTAGAATTCTCCCATTATTTTTTAAGATATATTTTTATTGATTTCAGAGAGGAAGGGAGAGAGAGAAAAAAAATCAATGATGAGAGAGAATCATGGATTGGCTACCTCCTGCATCGATTTTTCTCAACTCTGAGCTCCCACAGCAATTTGGAGTCCACACTAGAGGGTCTAATTTATTTTCTTCGTCTGTGAACAGGTGCTAATGTTTCAGCAGTCAAGTATTATTTTTCAAATGATATTGTCATTTTTTTTTAAGGAGAAGGACTGTCTCATGCATCTGCGCCTCACAGAACACTTTTCAATCCTCAGACTCGGAAATGTCCTTGCAGATGCCTGGATAGCTCCCATGTTTACAGTTAGCAGTGACTGTCACCTGGCTAATCTTTCACCACAACCACTGCCATCATCTCTGTGCACAACCCTACTGTCGCCTCCCTGAATCACCACTGCAGCTAGACATGTTGTACAATAGTTCAGAGTCTACTAAGTGCTTTCACATGCAGTACCGTACTTTTATTTACAGGCCGTGAGGGGGATATTATTTATTATCCCATTATACAGATGATAAAATGGAGGACAAAAAGGATCAGGTGACTTTCCCATATGGCAAAGCCGCAAGTCAAAAATCTTTTTAGGTGCTGCATAAATACATATCTCCATGTATTTGTGAGCATGAGGCAATGAGACTGCTTTCAAGCAAACACTTAAAAGTGCTGTTCTGATTATATAACAAACCTCTCCAAATTGTAGTGGCATAAAATGCAACCATTTTCTCTTGTTCCCAATTCTATGGTCAGGAATTTGGACAGACCACAGTAGAAATGGCCTGTCTCAGGGCCATGATGCCTGGGCCTCCCCTGCATGGATTCCATGCCTGAGACCGTATGTCTTGGGCCTCGGTCCTTTTCCACACAGCATCTCCTGGCCCTGGCATGTCGAAGGTAGTTCTTTCATTAGCATGTGTCTGCCATTGAGGCAAGGATGGCTAGCACAGCTGGGACTAATCTTTCCCCCTCACTTTTCAAATGACACTTTTTGTTTGGATTTGCTAATACTTCTGCTTTAAAAGCAAACATGAGCCGCTATACCTGTGTGGCATAACATTCTCACCAGCACTCTTTGTATTTAACTTGCTACTAATAACTTAGGTATAGTCATTTGCCCCATGCTAGTAACCCTGGAGACTGCCTTATACATCCTACTGACTTAAAATCGGTGAATGTTGACCTTTCATTCTATTATTGTTTGACTCTTATTTATTATTATATTTCTGTAAATGAATGAAGATGACTTTAATCCGTCCCTACCAAACTCTTTCTGGATGGAGCCAAAATCTTGTTAACCTTTCTAAAATTAATTATAAAGTCAAATGTTTCCATAATTTGCTCCCCTTGAAAATGTCTTCCAAAGATCTTTAGCAGAATTTTATAGATGTAGACTTCCAAAAAGGAAAAAAAAGACCTGAGGAATTTGATCAAGAAATTTTTCTTCACTTTGCATTTAATAAGGTATCTTTCAAGCTGTTTTTCAAAGACAAAAAGAAATCATAAGGAAAGTCACGCGTCCTGGAAGCATCCCTCTTAACTTCTTAGGGGGCCAAGTCCCCTCCAAGAGAAGACAAAGATCTGAAGCTACCTGCATTCAAAGGAGCAGCAAACCAGACCAGGTGACACAAAAAGCAGAGCAAGGGAGCTATTTCTAAAGATTTGCTGTGAGGTCAACAAAAGAATACAAAGCCTTTAGTTCAAGAGCGTGGTCTCTACTTTTGCATGGTGTGGGATTGTATGGAAACTGATTACTATTCAGAATTCTCTAATACTTCTATTTTTAACAATGCTGCAAGGCCTGACTCTTGGGGAAGCAGAGGAAGAAAAATGCATAGTTGCCCTCAATGTATCTCCCCTCACCAGGGCCCCCAGGGTGCTGGTTAATAAATGGCTCCTCACTTGCATACCAGCTGCATTTGCTCAGGGCTCTTCCAAGGAGTTCTCCTACCTCGCATTAGTCAGCAGGTTCCTAAGAGAAAAGCCTTCCCTTGCCTCACTGAAGGATTATTCAGCCTTATAAACACACCAGATTCCCCGTTCTCAGTAGGACATTTAATTAACCCCCACTGATTCAGCAAGCAAAGCAGCCAATAAGAATTTTTTGGCTTTTCACTGTGGCCCTAGGATATCCACCCACTTCTTGGTATTTTGAAAAATGTTGTGCCAGTTTCGCTCTAAATCATCAGAGTAGAGGGAGTACAAAAATACATTTCTCCAGGTCACCCGGCAGCACTGTTTGACCATCTATGTTTGCGGTGAAAATTGAGCAGCTCCCTATTGGAGAGACTGGAGAGAATTAGGGAAGGGGGAGCCTTTGGGGCTCAGAGCGTGCACAGAGCACTGTGTGTGCACTTCACTCGAGACTGTTTCAGAGAGGAGGCCAGGGGAGCCCTCCTGTTAACTTTAGGTTCCAGCACCTCCCAGCATGCTCCCTGGAAGGTGCCTTTTCTTATAAAAGGCTCTATTCGAATATGGAACCTTGGGATATATGGGTATATAGGTAGATGCTGATTTTAGACTTCATTTTACCTTGCTTTGAGGCAATTACTCAGACGGATGCCTCCTTTCTATTGTTGAGAAAAATATATATGCCTCTAGAGCAGTGGTTCTCAACCTTGGCTGCGCATTAGAATCACCTGGGAATCTTTTTAAAATCCTGATTTCTGGGCCTCATCCTCCGGAAATTCTGTTTCTTTGTTATGGGGTGGGGCCACAACATTAGTAACAAAGAAACAGAATTTCTGGAGGATGAGGCCCAGAAATCAGGGTTTTAAAAAGATTCCCAGGTGATTCTAATGCGCAGCCAAGGTTGAGAACCACTGCTCTAGAGGCATATATATTTTTCTCAACAATAGAAAGGAGGCATCCGTCTGAGTAATTGCCTCAAAGCAAGGTAAAATGAAGTCTAAAATCAGCATCTACCTATATACCCATATATCCCAAGGTTCCATATTCGAATAGAGCCTTTTATAAGAAAAGGCACCTTCCAGGGAGCATGCTGGGAGGTGCTGGAACCTAAAGTTAACAGGAGGGCTCCCCTGGCCTCCTCTCTGAAACAGTCTCGAGTGAAGTGCACACACAGTGCTCTGTGCACGCTCTGAGCCCCAAAGGCTCCCCCTTCCCTAATTCTCTCCAGTCTCTCCAATAGGGAGCTGCTCAATTTTCACCGCAAACATAGATGGTCAAACAGTGCTGCCGGGTGACCTGGAGAAATGTATTTTTGTACTCCCTCTACTCTGATGATTTAGAGCGAAACTGGCACAACATTTTTCAAAATACCAAGAAGTGGGTGGATATCCTAGGGCCACAGTGAAAAGCCAAAAAATTCTTATTGGCTGCTTTGCTTGCTGAATCAGTGGGGGTTAATTAAATGTCCTACTGAGAACGGGGAATCTGGTGTGTTTATAAGGCTGAATAATCCTTCAGTGAGGCAAGGGAAGGCTTTTCTCTTAGGAACCTGCTGACTAATGCGAGGTAGGAGAACTCCTTGGAAGAGCCCTGAGCAAATGCAGCTGGTATGCAAGTGAGGAGCCATTTATTAACCAGCACCCTGGGGGCCCTGGTGAGGGGAGATACATTGAGGGCAACTATGCATTTTTCTTCCTCTGCTTCCCCAAGAGTCAGGCCTTGCAGCATTGTTAAAAATAGAAGTATTAGAGAATTCTGAATAGTAATCAGTTTCCATACAATCCCACACCATGCAAAAGTAGAGACCACGCTCTTGAACTAAAGGCTTTGTATTCTTTTGTTGACCTCACAGCAAATCTTTAGAAATAGCTCCCTTGCTCTGCTTTTTGTGTCACCTGGTCTGGTTTGCTGCTCCTTTGAATGCAGGTAGCTTCAGATCTTTGTCTTCTCTTGGAGGGGACTTGGCCCCCTAAGAAGTTAAGAGGGATGCTTCCAGGACGTGTGACTTTCCTTATGACTTCTTTTTGTCTTTGAAAAACAGCTTGAAAGATACCTTATTAAATGCAAAGTGAAGAAAAATTTCTTGATCAAATTCCTCAGGTCTTTTTTTTCCTTTTTGGAAGTCTACATCTATAAAATTCTGCTAAAGATCTTTGGAAGACATTTTCAAGGGGAGCAAATTATGGAAACATTTGACTTTATAATTAATTTTAGAAAGGTTAACAAGATTTTGGCTCCATCCAGAAAGAGTTTGGTAGGGACGGATTAAAGTCATCTTCATTCATTTACAGAAATATAATAATAAATAAGAGTCAAACAATAATAGAATGAAAGGTCAACATTCACCGATTTTAAGTCAGTAGGATGTATAAGGCAGTCTCCAGGGTTACTAGCATGGGGCAAAGGACTATACCTAAGTTATTAGTAGCAAGTTAAATACAAAGAGTGCTGGTGAGAATGTTATGCCACACAGGTATAGCGGCTCATGTTTGCTTTTAAAGCAGAAGTATTAGCAAATCCAAACAAAAAGTGTCATTTGAAA